GCATTCCGTGACATGCTGCACAGTTCTATAAATTAACGCTGGGGAAAAAAAAATCGGCAAAAATAATAGTGAATGCAGAAACAGGAGTTAGGAGAAAATGCTATACATTAAGTATTTCTGTTTATTGAGGCAGCTGATCTTGCTTCTTATTTAAATACTTTGTTCTGTTCTGTTTGTGGGTCTTTGGCATGTGAATTTGATGCTGAACTGCTCGTTTTTCATTAGGCTTGCGTTGAATTATTTTAGAAGAGAGAGAAGAAAAGCTTACAAAATAAAATAGGTTATTGAGTCCTCCTAAAATGCTCACAGTGATTAGGTAGAAAGCCGAAGTGAAGGGTGATGGAATAAAGCTCTGTGCTTTATGAGTAAATACTGATCTCCGTGCAGGGTCGCTAATTTCTGTTTTTAAAATCCAAAAGATGTTTAGGAAGTCTTGGAAGTTAGTATTGTGGGAAGGAAATGGCTATTCCACAAAACATTCCATGTAAGGAGGCTCTTTGAACAATTCCTTTTGTAACCGGTTCTAACTGCAACCAGTTAGCGGTTTAATGTTGAAATGTATACTTGCCCTTCCGTAAAGCAGTATTTCATTTGTATTTCAGTGCTATGAGTCTTGACAAATTTGAGAAGAGCCCAAGAGAAATTTTGCATCCTGAGATACAAAAGGTAGGAGGTGACTTCTTTTTTTGTTTGGTTGTTTTTCTTTATTATTTTCTGGAAAAATAAGTCATTAAGTATAAATGCCTCTAGTTTATTTCTTTCAGTAGCAGGATAATAATGATGAGGAGGGTTACATGATACTACAAAGTAAACTATCCTTATCAGTTGAACTGGCCACTTCAAAACAAAACTTAAATATACAAGGATGTTACAGTTTTATTTGTGTTATCTTGAATACCAGTGTGCTAAAGATATTGTTTTGTTTACAGGATTTATTGGTTCTTGAAGAGCAAGAGGTAAATGTAAACTTACCGCTCCTAGCTCACAGACCTGTTCAACGAATACAGCTTTGTATTTGAAATATTTGCACTGACATGCTTGTGACAACTTAGAAATCAATTGCTTATTGCAGTAAAAAAAATGTAGTATTTCTTTGCAACATATGAGATCAAAAATCATTTTAAGCAGCAACTTAATATATCATATTAATAGATCACCAACTTAGTATATCAGAATCTGTGATCAAAGGTAAATTCTTAGGTGTCCACTACTTGAGCATGTAATGGAGTTGGTATGAAATGTATATTCCCATGGGTAGCATGTATACAAAGGTACGTATATAAAAGTCTTTAGAGAAAACATTATTTCAGGTCTTTTGTTTGATTGCCTGTTTATCATCTAATATTTGGTTTTATTTCTCAGGGATCTGTGAATTTTAAATTTGGAGTCCTTTATGCTAAGGATGGGCAGCTTACAGATGATGAAATGTTCAGCAATGGTGAGGTTTTCACCTTTTTTCAATTGTTTTATTCATCCAAATAAAAAAATGTAGGGTAGTGCCTACATGTGGAAGCCAGAAGGAAGATGATGGTTATGTGAATAGTAGTTTTGGTAGGTTTTCATGTTTGTGTTGGGTGACAAATTTTAGCTTAGAATCTTCAATTTCTATAAAAGGTTGCTGTAGGAAAGCTACTATTACAATTTGGAAGATACTGAAATTTCTTTTCTAGAAATAGACTATACAATGTAAGATTTAGAAAAGGGAAGCAGTTGAAGGAGGCGACCCACATTACCTGCAAAAAGGCACTGTTGTTTCTAGTTCTTTCACTCTTACATTTTTGCAGCATGATCACGTTCTTCTATGCACTTGAACAGTGTCTTGGAGTTAGCAAAATAGCTCACTGTTTAATGTCACATGATGATGCCTGTTCTGCAAGGCTTGGATGCTGTTTCTGTAAAGGCAGAAGGCTTGGATGACATGAGGAGAAACTAATCCAGCTGAAACTTTGGTCCTTGTGTCCTGGGAGCCCGACCTGTTCCTGTATTTTGATTATTTTTTATAGGTGTTCTGTTACTACATGTGCTTTTCTGTTTTAACGTTTCTCTCTTCCACATGTAGAAACCGGAAGTGAAAGTTTTCAAAGATTTTTGCATCTCTTGGGTGACACGATTACTTTGAAAGGCTGGACAGGCTACAGAGGAGGACTGGACACTAAAAGTAAGAACTCATCTGAAGCAAAAAAGCAGGGGGGCTGCAATATAAATGTTTTTGCTTATTGCATGTGCATACTGTATATATTGTAGAAGTAATACAGTCCCAAACCAGACTTCCTCATGTGCATGCTAAATGCTCTGCTTCACCAGGAAAAAGTCAGGTTAGCTTAAATCGCTGGTATGGAATGCAGTTGAAGAAAAGTATTTATATGACCTGTATTTTCAAGGTGAATGGTTTAATTTTATATTGGAATGGGGTGAAGAATAACCTGACATGTTACTTGCTTTGTGATAGTAGGGCATCACGGTTTGAAGAACGACGTGTGATTTCAGGAGGCTGGGTGAAGGATGTCATAGGTTTTAAGTGTGTGAATACGCAGATTAGGTTGCAAACTCATGTTTGAACCGCATAAAACATGCAGCGTGGACATTTTCTAAAATGATTCAGAAAAAAAGATGACTAAAGAAGGTTTGGTAGAAGGACCTGAAATACCTTTTGATCTTTAGAAAACTTAAGGGACATA